ATATTTCTTTCCTCTAGCTCTTCCGCTGATGGTCGTAAACTCAAACGTCTGCAAAAAGAGAAGCAAATATTGAATGAAAGGAATTTAATTTAATTTGTTGTTATCAAGGTCAAATGTCCTTTTGTTGAGAATGATAACCAATATCTCTAACACAGAAAGAAAAAGAAAAAAGAAAAAACAAACATATATATATATAAAAAACACACACACACACACACACATATATATATATATAATATATATATATATATATATATATATATATATATATATATATATATATATATATATATATATATATATATATATATATATATATATATAAAATTTACAAATATAAGACACCTTTACCTATTCAAAAAAAGTGCTAGAACTGCTTTAATCCATGAACGCCTTCTTCGCTCTTTAAACCACTCAGCTTCTCTCATAGCCACAACAAACAGACCATCCTCTCGTGGGAGGACAAAATAATTTCCAGCAACCATGATGTTGTACAGTCAAGTTATCACGTATAAAATAGTGAGACCAATATGATATGTAAAATGAATCTCCAAAACTTAGATCAGCCCAACTGCTATGTATTCAATATTTTATCACAGAAGTTCATCCATTACACTCTGACCTCCAGACATGTGTCAAAGCACGGTAGCCCATGTCGGCTTACAAGCAATCATATATGCTCTTCATTTTATTTCTAATCACTAGTATTTATCTTATCTACACATCAGCATCACAGTTATTGTCTAACAGCCATAAATCAAATGCAATCACAGATTTTTATCACAGCACCAATCACAATTATCCAGTTTCAGCATCTAGAAAGTAAAACTAAGGCAGCCTTTCTCCACAAGTGCTCCTGCCTGTCTGAGAAGCTGTCATGAACTGCCTCTCTCTGGGATTCAGCTAACCTGAGACCCTCACTAGCTTCTGGCTGTGTGCCATGGCATATGGATCACTCCTTGGGGTGATATTCTAGTGCAAATATGCACTTATTACGCAAGTCTTTCTCTGTCATATGATTGGTTAAATTCATTCATAAGTGCGAAATGACACAAATAATAACACCTGTCATAAATATCATCTCTCTGGAAAGCTAAGTTCTGAGCATTTTCTATAAAGAGTAGTAACAAATGTAGTAACAATACAAGTAAAAATTACAGGTATCAAACACCAAGGCCATAACCTATACAATGTTATAAAACAACCAAACAAGTACTCTCTAGATGGTTCTTTTACACCTCTCAGGAGTTTGGCAGCTGTTCAACTATTTTGTTGGTGGGTGCTAAGGGTATATCTTTTATTTCTAGCAACTGTATCTGCTACTGGAGGTCATGAATTCCTTCTGGTTAATATAGAAACTTCAGCGGAAACTGTTATCTGGTGACCTTCAATAAATCTCTTGTGAACCAATTCTTTCAAGCAAAATTATGAGCGTGACTAATAGACAAAAACATTATCTTATTTTTGTCTACTCACAGACATGCTGCAAAACGCAGACAAAGAGTGTTCTCTGTTAAACTGCTTTGATTTAACACTTCTACTTACTTGTATGTAATTTTGCAAATACATTTCTGTAAGATCAGGTACTTGAGTCCTCAAACTTTTAAGAGAGAATTATATGAATTCTACACCTTATAACCCTCTCATAAAATAAACAAGTTTACTCCTTGAACACCTTTCTAGGTCAATGACAATCTCTTTCACCTACTTCAGAATCTCTCACCTAATCCTCCACTCCTTTCCATCATATTCTTAAATGTAAATAGAGAATATATAGCATATCCCATTTTTTTTAGCATCTATAATACTATAATGAGGAAATGTTACCTTGCACTCCATCACTTGCCATCCATTGCTAATTATTACTAATATATTAATATTACTAATATATAATTCAGTTGAAATTTTTGGCATTATTTTGTGAAAGGTGCCGAGCCCTTAGACATCAGAGCTTCATTGGCGATGTCACTTAATCTGAATGAATACATTCTTTGCTTATGAACCAACTTATGAGGCAGTCTCTTAAATGATTCTAAATAGATCTGAAAGAATGCAGAACCATCAATTCTTCTTGAAAGTTTCTCCTACGCAAAAACTAGACTCCCTAGTGCCACCTCTAGCTTCTAAATATAGCCCGCTCATCTCCCTCACGTTTCTGGCATAGCATCAACTGACTGCACATGGTTGCTGGATAGACAACACAACTAATATTTATCCTGTGCACTTAATGAATGTTTACACAATCATACAAATCAGAAAATATATCTTTATAAGTTTTTAGGGAATTCTGAATAGCTAGGACTCAGATGATACATAACCTATTATGGATAATTTATATAAATCACAGGTATTAAATAAAATTATATCACTTCTGCTCTATGTGACATTTACCAAAAATACTATAAAGAATATTAGAATACGGTGATGCAATTCACAAAGGCAGCAGACTAATATATCACTCCTGATGTCATTGAATGAGGTTGCAAATAATATTATAATAACTGTCCAGTAGCTAATACACCTGCTATCCAGATCTAAATCAGTAAAAGTAAAGTAAAATACTTCAGACTTTAAAATAATCCCTAAATACTAACATGATACACAACCTGAGCTCTTAAAACCAGTCTGAACTAGTTATTTAACCCACACCGCCAGGAATTGGCACAACGCCCTGACAAGGACAAATTTTTGTCTTAAAGTTTTAATCCTTGGTGTGCTAAGATTTCCCAGCTGAGGTCATGTATTTACCACTGCAAATTATACACCTTAATCTACTACCTGTTGCCCAAATTATTACAGAATAACTAAATGGTTTCCACAGCTTTTTAACAACTTCCTCTATCAATCAAGTTACAATTCACAAACCTACATTCAATAATATCAAAATTTGGGCATTCAACTTTCAGTATTTCATATATGCTAATAATAGTTGGCTGAAACAAAAACTAAATACGCAGGGGAAGACGAGACCATGACCGCAAATCTGGCACAAGGCCAGTGCTTGTGATGCAATATGTTACTATTTACAATCTGGATACTCCAAATGAACCACTTACTAGTTTATCAAATAGATATTTAGACATGTAATTGCATGAATAACCTAGTATTAAAAAATGTATTCATGAATTCATGATCTACTGCAACCCTTCTACTGGTGGATCAGTTTCATAATCATTGGTGGGTGTCATATTATTACAACACTGTCAACAATGTTTTCCTTGCAATATATTTATGTTTACTGCGCACTGCCTCCTGCTGTACCAACCTGCCAACTATGACTCAAATCTGACTGCATCCTTAATAGGCTGCAAACTTCCTCTTCCTGGCTTAATGATTCTAAGTGCAGAATCAAACAATGAATTGGATATCTATTCAATTGAAATCTAAAAAAGTAAGCACATGAAACCAAAAAGTGTTAGCTAGCAACCTACTATGGTTTGATAAAAAATCTCCTGAACAAAAAATAAGAATAAAAGTTAACTATAACTTAAAATGCATCTCTAATCCTGATTAGGTAAAATGAAACTGAACATCATCCTTTTAGTCCTCTGCATGTACAATCTGTGAATGTTTCCTACAACTAATGAAATATAAAAAAATGAAACATTCTCATTGAGAATTTTTAATTTGTGTTAAGCTCATGTTTCATACTATAATAATTAATTAATTGATAAGAAGTGGTCAGTGCATGTATTGTATTTATAAAGACATTGTAAATATAACACACATCTTTGAAGACATTTTATACAGACAGGAAACACTAAATATGCATCAACACACCTGCATTCACACCCACAACTACACTCACACCAAGCATAGCTTTGTGTACTCTGAACTTCTTTCTTCAAAGGGCACAATATTCCTATTTTTCCAGGATCATTCAGAATTAAAACCTCACATCAACATGTCATTCAAGAGCACAACAGACTTTACCTTGATTAATAGACCTTTTACCTTTATTACTTATTCTATCAACATTTTTCTTGGAGGAATAACAGAATGAAATAGAGGGAAAATAAGAGAGACAGAAGGAAACAGGGAAAAACAAATCAATTACCTTGTAAGCTTGGCTCCAATTGCTTCTCTAAACTCCTTCCTATCATTCTCTGATTGCATGTGGATGATGTTTCGATCGATTAGGTCTTGTTTGTTTGGTCGACAAGCCAACTTCTGTGCAAGACTGTCTCTTCTTGCCACTTTTGAAGCTAGACGATCTGCAAAAGGGTGAAAAGGATATTCATTCAGGTGCTTTTTTTAAAATTAGCAAATAGTAATCTCCTATTATATTCTTTGATCTATTTAATCATTGGATATTTTTCTCGGCTCCCTTTTTCTATCTATTTCCCCTAAACTACCATGAGCCTAATCAATCTTAAATAATGTGCTTTAGCAGTACATGCTATACTTGTCATTGTTAAAATGTAACTGGCATATACCCAAGTACCCTGGTTTCTTTGGTTGTTTACTGGTTGTCATTTATGAGCAACTCAGAAAATCTGCTTTTCTGGTACTGTTCATTGCAGTTTCTCTCACTTAACCCAATTGGCAAAAGAAAAGAAAAGGCAAAACAAGAACTTGAAAACTTGGCAAAGCTCCCTGACTGAGAGAAAAAGAAAAAAGGTGTGATCAACCATGACCCCAATTTCTTGATTCTATGATATCACAGTGAATGGCTTCTAAAACTGGTTTTCTGCTTTGCTTCGGTGTGTATAGGAATAAGACTAATAGTTTCAGTAAGGATATTCTGCATACATAAAGAAAGAAAGAGAGAGAAAGAGAGAGAGAAAGAAAGAAAGAAAGAGATAGAGAGAGAGAGAGAGAGAGAGAGAGAGAGAGAGAGAGAGAGAGAGAGAGAGAGAGAGAGAGAGAGAGAGAGAGAGAGAGAGAGAGAGAGAAAGAAAGAGGGAAAGAAAGAAAGAGGGAAAGAAAGAAAGAGGGAAAGAAAGAAAGGAAAGAAAGAAGGAGGGAAAGAAAGAAAGAGAGAAAGAAGAGAGAGAGAG